TGCTCTACACCAGAAGCCCAGAAATTAAGAAGTTCAAGAATAACTGTACACCACAACAAGATAATTAATCCAATAGAAAAGTGGGCACAGGATATGAACAGACACTTCACCGAAGAAGACATTCAGATGGCTAACAAGCACATGAAGAAATGTTCAAAATCCCTAGCTCTAAGAGAGATGCAAATCAAAACAACTATGAGTTATCATCTCACCCCAGTAACTAACAATAGCAAAGTTCAACAGAACAACAAAGAACTAATGCTGGTGAAGTTGTGGAGAAATTGGAACCCTTATTCACTATCGGTGGGAGTATAAAATGGTGCAATCACTCTGGAAGGCAGTATGGCACTTTCTCAAAAAGTTGGAAATAGAAATAACATTTGACCCAGCAGTTGCACTACTGGGAATATACCCTAAAGAAACCAGAACTTCCAACCATACAGATATATGCACACCATTTATTAATTTAATTAATAAAATATGCACATAGTATTTATTGCTGCATTGTTCACAATAGCAAAGAGATGGAAGCAACACAAATGCCCACCAACAAATAAATGGATAAAGAAGCTGTGGTATATTCACACAATGGAATACTATGCAGCACTGGCAAAACTAGGAACTAACAAAATATTATACAAAATGGGTGACCCTGCAGGACATTATGATGAGTGAAATATCTCAGTCACAAAAAGGCAAATACTGCATAGTGCCACTCTTATAAGAGATGGCTGGCATGGGAGTTGGGAGAAATGAAGAAAACAGGGAATAATGAACATTGCTTTTAAATAGATGAAGGAAAGAACTGTCTAAAAGGAATATATGACTACACATTATTTGCACGACAAGAGTCCAGAATAAGAGGTTCATAGCAAAATGGACTGGGGGGCTGGGGAGGGCGGGACGGAGTAAACTGTGCAACAAAGAAAGAATCTTTTTAAAGTGAAAAACAAACTGAGGCGGGGGTAGGGAGGAAAATATGCAACAATGAATGAATGGATATCTAAGTTTTCTGTAAACTTCCGTTAAAATATCAATAAAAACTAAAAATGAATCCATCCAATAAATGTCCTTTTAACTTACAAACCAACCCTCATAGGTTATTTGCAAATATGTCTTAATGATAATACTAAGTATAAACTCACTGCCAACTCATAGTGACTCTGTAGAAGAGCTAAGTAGAACTGCCTAAAGGGTTTCTACACCTGTAATCTTTATGCAAGTAGAGCACTTCTGTAATTTATGTTACAATTTAGAAACTGAATGGCTGTTAGGAGTTGCGCTTTTATCCACCAACCACTCCACGGGAGAAAGATAAGCAGTCATTTCTCATGCAATTTCCCCTCTGTCAGGCTGAAAGGCTCAGCTAAAGTCATTACCAACTTGATGCCAATAAGCTTAAGTTTTGCACTTGAACGTTTCTTCAACAAAAAAGTGACCAATGCTCTTCCTTTTGCTAAGGGTTTCAAATCTCTCCCCAGAAATGATGAAGTTCACAACCTAGGCAGAAGACAAGTAGTTCTAGCACCTCTGCAGACATATAAAAGCAGAGTCCAGCGCTCTCGGCAGTAGCAGGGTTAGCTCGAGCGGGGTTCGGCTGTCGGGACACCCCTGCTGGGATTGCGGGAAGCACCTCCGCACCGCGCGAGGTTTCTCCCGGTGGACGCTGGGAACGGTGCACGGAGGCCGCTCCCGCGCAGGCGCATCAGGCCCCGAGCGGCCTGCGGCGCTGGTGCGTGAGAGCTTCTCCCGAGGCCATCCGGCGTTACGCGGAGACGAGGAGCCAGTCGCAGTGAGCGGACGACGTTGTGCTTTGCAAGGCGGCAGAGACGGGTAAGTAGGAGGCTCGCCGGGGGTCTGGAGATGGGAAAGCGCGAGCCCCACGTATCCGGTGCTTACCCGTTCTCCTCCCACCAACCCGGAGTTAGGCTCAGACAAAGGCCCAGAGGACAGGGCCGGCTAGCCTTTGGAGAAAGATTTGTCCCTTCCTGGTGACCCAGTGGTGAGGAATTGCTCAGCCAGCACGCAGGCACGCGGTTCGAATGAACCAGCTGCTCTGCGGGAGAAAGATGGGCTGTCTCCTCCTCCCAAGCGATTTAATTGACTCGGAAAACCGCCAGGGGGGCAGCTATTAAGTCAGTTGCGACTTGACTTCACCTGACAGTTCCTTAGGGAAGAGGAGACCTGAGTGGAAGAAAGGGTTAGGTGATTGATTCAACAAGTAAAGGAACTGAGATTCAAAAGCAGACCCTTTTTTATTCCAAGTCTGGTACTATTTTAAGAATGCTGCTGAAACAATTGGTGTTTACTCGCTTCTTAAATTCTGTGACATCAACACAATACTTTGGACCGTGTGTATAACTAACCACAGTCTCCATATATTTTTGTAAAAATATTTTTGTTCCGAGGCACTTTGGTGTCATAATCTGTAGAGAGTTCCACTCCTAAACCAAAGACGACTCATCTCTATAGGTTTGAATGGAGGGTAAGCTATGAGTGGGTTATGATTCAACTGCAGTGAGTTGAGGTGCGTACAGTGTGTACCTCCAACACTAACCCAAACAATGGTGGTTCAATCCACCCAGCATCCTGGAAGGAAGGCCTGACAATCTCGTTCCTTATAGATAAAATCCTACAACAGAGCAGTTTTACTCGGTGGCACATGGTGTGTGATGGCAAGCTGTGGGTTTTGGTTTCAAATGAATCTTCCAGATCTTTTTGCTATTATTTTCCACCCAGCGTCTCTAAAGGTGGCTGCTTAGTATGAAAGCCTGGAGCTTCCCATTGCCTGCTGAGGAGACCGATGGAGCCTAGGTGGGAAATGTTCCTAGAAGGTCATCAGAGTACACTGAGAGCCAGAGCTGATGGTCAGAGGACACTGTACGCCTGGGAAACCTCTACCTAGACAAAGATTCTAGCAGTTTACCAGAAGTGGACCAGCGCACTCGGAGCACTTTGTGGACAGAGACCAGAGAACCCTTCAGGAGAGCAGGTTTCATCATGCTGCAGCAGCTCTTGTTCACTCAGCCCACTGAGCCTAGTACCTGTGTGACGCTGCATCATCCAAAGGTCAAGGAGGGAGTGCCCTTCTGGGAAGATGTGACTGAAATATTTCAAGGAGAAGGTGAGAATTAGGCTTGTGGGAGGAAAAGAGGGAAAACAGTTTCCCCTTGTGTGAAAAAAAGGGTAGACTCCTGTGTTTCTTGGGGAGACAGCTGAGGGGAAGAAGAACTTTATAGAATTCTTGATTACAACTCCTGCTCAGAGGTTTTCCTGAATAGGAAAATCAGTATTTCAGTGCCAGGGCTATATGTCAAGCAAGGAGGAACTAAAAAATAACAGGAATTTATCAAAAGAATACAGGAGCCAAGTTCACGGAGCTCCCAGTGGACAAACATTGAGGTAGATTAAGTGTCCAAATTGATTGTAACACCTTGGATAAATAAAACCTCACAAATTTGTGATGCTATATTAAATAGAGTAAGAAAGGAAGGGAAACTCATTTGTATTCGTTGGAATGATTACTGTACCAATTTCTTATTTTACAGGTAGACTGTTATGGGAACAATTAATGCATCTACAGTGCCTTTAGTTCATTTCCCATTGTTGGTGGTCATGGTAGTGTGTGCTGTCAAGTCAGAATCGACTCATAGCTGACCCTCCAACAGGTTTTCAGAGGCATATTTATATCTTTTTAATTGCATGAGAGGAGATTGCCTATCTTTCTCCCTTGGAGAAGCTGGTGGATTTGAACCAGGTACCTGAGAGTTGGCAGTACAACTTCTTACCACTAACAGAGCCCCCAGAACAAAAAGAAACTAGATATAACAATTTGGTTATGTGACCCTTATTGGTTCCTGGTTTGAAGAAATACAGACTACAAGACAGTCAAGAGATAGGAGATGTATGAATATGGACCAAACATTTAGATGATAATGCATTCATTTTCTTAGGTATTACAAATGGTAGTTATTGTTAGGTGCCATTGAGTCAAGTATGACTCATAATGACTCTATGAACAAAAGATCTCAGCCCCGTTCTATACTGTGCCATTCTAACACTCCCTGACACAGAAGAATCCATTGTGGCAGTCACCATGTCAGTCTACCAGGTTGAGGACCTTCCTCTCCTTTGCTGACCCTCCACCCTTCCAAGCATCATGTCCCTCTCCAAGGAATAGTCCCTCCTAGCAACATGCCCAAAGTATTACAAATGGTATTATGATTATTTCAGGAGAATATCCTTATTTGAACTATTTAGGGATGAAATATTGTGCCTCTAACTTTTAAAATGATTGAGAAAGTGAATAACTAGATAAATAGGGAAAATATCTTTTAGTTCCGGAATCTAGATTTACATGCTCTCAGTACTCCTTATAAAAAGTTGTAAATAAATACAAGGATGGCAATTCAGGTACGTTTAATGCCTAGTTTATAATTTTATGCTTCAATTCAGACTTTTTTTTTTTTATTCTAGCAATCTGGCACAGTATTATGCCTAACACTGTAGGATATGGTGGGCGGGGGGTATACAAGATCCAGTTGCACGCATATACTCACACTTAATCGAGGGAGATAATTATACAAATAAATATAATAAGAGGTAACCTGAGATAGATGCCACAATAGGGATAAAAACCATGTTTGGCCAGAAGAAAGGAAACCTTTTGCTCCATAAAACTGCCTAAAAATACTTATTCTGAAGGATGTTAGTTTTCACCACATAAAATTTGGGAGAAAGTACAAACATGGATATTGTCAAGGTAGTTTGGTTTTACTGAAATTTCAGATGGATGGGTGTGTATATCCAGTGATGAAAGGGTCTTGATGCTCATGGTGAAATATTCTGGATTTCCCATTCTTTTTAGTGGAAAAATCATTGAGTTTTAAGCAAAGGAATGACCTGATCTGGGCTTCTGTTCTAGCTGGCATTGACCACTGGGAAACAGAGCAACGTGCTGCAGGTCTTCCTCACTGTGGAGTCGTCAGGAGACCTCCCTGCCATTGTCCTCCTGTGAATCGGAGGGTGTTGGGGTGGAGCCACATTTAGTGTACCTGCAGGCAGTTTTTCTGTTTGCAGCATTTCACAGAAGCAAACTCATGGCTCTTTTCATTCCCCAGCTCTGCTCTCTGAGGATGATGATGAGACCCAGGAAAAAAGTATCAAGAATAGAGTGGCTCTTGGGTCCCCAGCAGCAGAATACCAGGTTGGTTGGAGTTTCCTGTGACTTTCTTGAAATTGTTTCTCTGATTTTAAGAGCCCCAGAGTTTGATTCCCTTTGAATTGGATCCCTGGAAGGGGTTTTCTGAACCTAATCTTCCTCAGGAAACCAGGCCATGTGGGTTGACTTCACAAGTCATTTTCTCCTCTGAGAGTTACCTCATTCAGCAGCCCTCTTATTCCTAGCCAAAAGTTACACAGTGCTAGAGCTGTGTAATTGAAAAGACCATGGCCTAGATCAGACATACCTTAGTCTTCAAACTGAAATCATTGCCTCTCAGTAATTTGGAGAGGTCCCTGACAGCAGACTTGCCCAGTGAAAATTTATTCTTGATCTCCTGACTGCTGGTACCAAAGGGTGTTGATTGTGGATCCAAATAGAATGAAATTGTTGACAGTTTCAGTCATGATGTTGCCTACTGGCCTTTGAGTTGTAGAGTTGAAGAAGAGTACAGAATTTCCCATGGATTGCCAAAAACAAACAGATATGTCTTAGGGAAAGTATAGCCAGAGAGTTCCTTATAGGTAAGGACAGTGAAGCTTCATCTCACATAATTTGGACATATTCTAGGAGAGGTTATTCCTGAGAAAGGGACATCATGCTTAGAAAGGTAGAGGGTCAATGAAAGATAGGAAGACCTTTAATCAGATGGATTGACACAGTGACTGCAGCAATGGGATCAAGTGTGCCATAGGTTGTGATAATGGCACAGAATATATTGGACAGGGTTCAGATATGTTGTTCATAGGGTCGCTGTGAGTCATGCTCGACGTGATGACATCTAACAACAAAAAGTCAAGGGTCGTGTGGGAAAGAGAGTATGCATTTTACATCTTGCCCTTGAAAACCTGTGAATATCATCTGAGAGAAAGGCAAATATAAAATATTCTAGGTAACATTTTAAAATTAACAGGTTCTGATATTCTTAGAAATGTATATATTTCTCCAACAACCTTTAAGAGAGGAGTTTTTATGCCATCCTGGTACAAAACTTAAAATTGTAGCTGAAAGGACCAACGAGTAGAGAAGGTACTGGCAGTGTATGAAGAGCACAGACTAAACAGGCTGACAGAGAAGGAAGAGAAACTTGTTGGAGTAGTTTAGCCATGTTCTGTGTCATAAACTAAGCAGAAGCACCAGCAGAGCTTTACCACTGTTACATCCCAGCAGCACGAGAGAAACAAAATAAAAATTGTAATTAGAGAAAACTCCTATGGAGGGTGTTGGGGACTGAGTTATGTTCCACTAAGCATGTGTTATAAATTATAGCCATTATGCCTGGGGTTATATTCTCATTTGGGAATGAATTGTCTCTTTTGTGTTGGTTTGACAGCATTAGTTTAGGGTGGATCTTGACTCTGTCTCTCTTGAGATCTCAATCAATCAAGCATGTAAACAGAAATATTAGGAAGAGAGATGTCCAGCCACTTGAAGCTCAGCAGGCAGTAGAAGCTCTAAGAGAGGAATCTTCCTCTAGAGAGAAAAAACCTTGCCTTAGAAGTAGCACCATGAATTTGGACTTCTAGCTACCTAAATTGTGAAAAAAATATATTTCTGTTTGTTTAAACCACCCATTTATGCTATTCTGTTACAGTAGTGTTGAGTCCACTATAGCTCACAGCAGCCCTGTGAACGACCTTTTGGAACTTTGCCCTGTCCTGTGTCATTCTCGTGATCTCCAGCCTGTTTGAGCCCATTGTTACAGCCACTGAGTCAGTCGGTCTTGTTGAGGGTCTTCTGTTTCTCTGACCCTCTACCTTTCCCAGTATGATGTTATAATGTTGTTGTTGTTGTTATGTGCCTTTGAGTCATTTGCGACTCATAGCCACCCTATGTACAACAGCCCTAAACCGTGCTCTATCCTGTGCCAGTCTCATTGCCTCTGACACACCCATCCCGCCCAAAGGCGTCAATTCTCCTGTCTTCCCTAGTCATTGTCCAACTCTCTGATGCATAACAAGTGATTGCAAAAACCATGGCCTGTATCAGGTGCACCTTAGTCTCCAGAGAGACACCGCTGCTCTTGAGTACTTTAGAGAGGTCCCTAACCGCATAATAGCACTAGTTAACTACAACAAACGAAGATATTATTAGAGAACCAAAGCATATTAAAATTGAGTGATTTTTACTTTCAGAATTATACAGTTCAAAAATTAATACCATGAGTTTAACCTTAATAAAGTTCTGTTTAATTGGTTACATGTGAATGCTAATGTCAGTGTAATAGGAAAAGTATTCCAGAATTATTTTTAATACATGTTGTTATGTGTTGTCTAGTCACTGCAACTCATAGCGATCCTATATACAACAGCTCTGAAGTCTGCACTGTCCTAAGCCAGTCTCACTGACTTCAGTATACCTGCTCCCATTACCCACTTACTGTATCTATCCATCTTATCCAGGGCCTCTTCTCCTGTGCTGTCCCTCTACCCTACCAAGGATATGAGATGGAACTTCAGATACATAAGAAATTTAAAAATACTTATATATTTAAGGAAACAATTAATGTAGCTCTTTGAAATGGAAGCATTTTGTTGTTGATTTTTTTAAAAAAACATAATCATCAAACTGGTTTCATTTGTATGAGCAAATAGAAAAGGTTTGGATACTTCACACATCACAGACTGGCTGCTGTGGCCAAGGGATCTTCCATATAAGGAGTACTTCATGCTTCTTCCAAATACTTTGTTCTCTCTAGTTTTCTCTCTAACATAATTAAGGATTCTTGGTAAACTGTTGTGATGTTAACCAATTCTGTCAGCCAACAGAGGTCCTCAGAAGGGACCATGACCTTGCTTGTGGTCATGGCTCTTTGTGAACTCTGCTCTTTATCAGATACTTCTGAGCTTTGTCCTTAATCTAATTACTATATACTCTATGATCTTCTTTAATATTTTATGAGTGTTTTCACTTCAACGAAAATCCTAAATTGCAGAAGGCCATTTACAGCCAGCCAATTACTGGATGACAGACAGGAACATTTTCCTTTAATCTCTTAGCATGTAAACAGAATCAGAACAGCTTGCTGAACTATGAGTGAAAAAGGAACATATTTGATTTTATAGGAAGTGATAACCTTCAAGGACGTATCTGTGGACTTCAGTCAGGAGGAGTGGAGGCAGCTGACTCCCGCTCACCGAAATCTGTACCGGCAGGTGATGCTGGAGAACTATCGGAACCTGGTCTCAGTGGGTAAGGATGAGTTCCCCTTGTGAGGTGAACATGCTTTTTGAAGATAATCATTGTTTCCAAAGTAAATGTTATGCTTGGGCTTTGGGTTCTGTATTAGAGGTTTCTTATTCTTTCTAAACACTGACTGAGGATTGCTGGTCCCAGTCTTTCTGCTTTATCCTTCAGAGGCCCTGAATACTAGAGACTGTATAAATTCTTGGGATGTCTCCTTGACCCTTGTACATTGGGTTTTTTTTCTCTCTGAGCAGGCTATCAGCTTTCCAAACCTCGTGTGATTTCCCAGTTAGAAAAAGAAGAACCATGGCTGTTCGAGGGAGAAAGTTTAAAAGGTCCGGATTCAGGTAAGAGAAGCGCAGATGGTGGTCTTTGTGTTTTCCAGACTTCCTTTCAAATGGCTATGAGGATGACCAAAGGCTATAGGTAGATAAGAAACCAGATTCTACTACTTCTAATATCCCTTCTGTGCACGTGCATCTTGTCATAGAAACAGAATTTTTCATTATTTTCGTAGCTATTATGGTTTTCTTTAGAATTCAGAATTTACTGATTAAAGTTTTCTTTCTCCTGTGCATGCAGTTATACAAGAATCTCTCTCTGTTTAATACACTATTTTTTATTGAATCTTCATGTCATCCCATGTTTTAGTTCTCCTTACAACAAATGGGAATCTCAGAACATTTAATTGTGCCTATGCAAAACCTATACATAGACCAAAAAGCAGTTCTCCAAATAGAACAAGGGAACACTGCATGGTTTAAAATCAAGAAAAGTGTATATCAGGGCTGTGTTCTTTCTCCATACCTTTTAATTTGTATGTAGAGCAAATCCTTCAAGAATCTGGACTATATGAAGAATGTGGCATCAAGATTAGAGAAAGACTCCTCAACAGTCTACATCATGCAGGTGACACAACCTTGCTAGTAAAATGTGATAAGTACAGAAACACTTGCTGGAAAAGATCAAAGACTACAGCATTCTGTATGGAGTATATCTCATCATCAAGAAAGCAGAACAATGCTCATCACTAGACCAATAGAAATGATAGATGGAGAAAAGATTTAAGTTGTCAACAATTTCATTTTGCTTGGATCTACAATCAAGACCCATGGTAACAGTCAAGAAATCAAAAGACTTGCTGCATTGGGAAAATGTGACGTCAAAGACATCTTCAAAGTACAAAAGAGCCGTGATACTGATTTAAATATTAAGGTGCACCTAATCCCAGCTAAGGTTTATGCTTCTGAAGTTGGACAATGAATACGGATGATAGAAAAAGAATTGATATATTGAATTGTGGTGTTAGAGAAGACTGAATAGCTCATGGATTGTAAAAAAAACAAACAAGTCCATCTTAGATGAAGTGCAGCCAGAGTGCTTCGTAAAGGAAAGGGTGGTGAAACATTATCTCACATACTTTGGTCATGTTGCCAGGATGGACCAGTCCTTGGAAAATTACATCATGCTAGGAAAGGTAGAAGAAAGACAAGAAAAACCCTCAGGAATAAAAGAGATGGTGGGGATGGTGCAGGATGGGGCAAGGTCTGTTATTTATAAGGCCGCTATGAATTTAAATTGACTTGATAGCACCTAACACAACATGTCTTTTACACCCTCGTTCCGTTTTTAATTATTTATATATCTTGTTCTGTGACTACTTCAACTCTGATTCTTTTTTTACTTTATCATTTAAATTTTTTGCACCAGATAATTTATGTCCTTTTCAAGAAATCACCGCAGAACACCTTCTGACAAAAATCAGTGACTTACATTCTTTGAATATGTTGTTGTTAACTGCCTTGAGTCATAGACAACTGATAGCGACCCTATGAACAAAAGACCTGAACACTTGTATGATTTTCACCGTTTCTCTATGTTCATAGAGTTTCCGGAGGCAAGCTATTTCAGAAGTGGATGCCACTCTTGCTTCCAGGCTTGTTTTAATCAAGGAGCTCCACCAAACACTGTCCACTATGGGTAACCATTCTTGCATTTGACACAGTAGTGTCAACAGTGTTTAGCACCACAGCAACTTCAACATTTTAGATATTGTTATTATGCACAATAGGATTGGACCATTGTGATCTATAGTGTTTTCACAGACTCATGTTGAGAAATAGATTACCGGGCCTCTCTGCCACTGTTGGATGATTAGTAGCTGCAGAAGAGGTACATTATTGGGAGTTGATTTTCAGATCTCCCTGAAAGGTGAGAATTCTCCTGAACCACCAGTGCTCCTAAGAACAATAATAGTAACAGCTTTTATGAGCTGGACTTTCTATGACATACCTACCTTACTCCATTTTACAAATGAGGAAAGGGGCTTGTAGATTAAGAAAACAGTACAGAAATTTAGACCACCTGACATCATAGTTAGTGTTGTTTTTTTTTTTAAATAACACCTAAAGTTTATTCGATGACAGCACACACAGGAAACACAATTAGTTGAGGAGCCTACTATCCGTTCCCAAAGGGATCATCCTAAGAATTGAGATCCAAGAGGCGAACCCCGGCAGAGGCCTGGTCCGCCGCCGTGTCGCTCGCGGTTAAAAGGGCTGCCTGCAGCAGGCTGGGGCCCCAATTATGCGCGAACTCATGCTCTTGCACATCAGCGTAACCCCCGGCACCACGGGTAGCATAGTTAGTGTTTTAATGAAACAGTTTTAAACAACATTAAATTACGCAGGTCTCACCACCCTCTAGGGATTCTTTCCTCCATCAGCTAACTTAATAGTTTGTGTCTCTTCTATTGGTTTTTCTCTGCTTCTCATCTTTTTCAATGCAGATATATAATTTCTGTCTTTCTGCCCATCTTTCTCCATTGGAGGGGCTGGTGGATTTGAACTGCAAGAGAGCCTTGGCTTTTGGCTTGACAGCACAACTCCCTACAAATGACCCACCAGAGCTCCCTTACTCTATACCACTCAAAAACTCACTCCATGGAGTTGGAAACAATTAATGGCTGACTCTCTAGCATATTTTCCAATCACGTGGGAAGAGATTAATTACCCATCCTGTGGAGCTGCTGATAGATTTGAACCACCAGGAAGGTGTTGGCAGCACAACTCTCTACAGACTAGACCACCAGAGCTCCCATTTACTATAACAAGTACACTGTAACATTTGATTCAAGCAGAAGAGGAATTTCTCACTCATCTACTCACTCACTAAGGTCTAGTTTATTCCATTCATAATAGGCCCCCTTGGGGTTTCCATTGCTGTAAATCTTAATGGAAGGAGACTGCCCAGCAGAGCATTCAGTGGTTCTGAACCACCAAAGATGTGAAGCCTTTTAGTTACTGGCACAACATGCTTGAGACTACATCACCAGTGCTCTTTCATTCATACATGGGTCTGGGGAAATTATTTGGATTAGTGTGGTTTTTTTCCAGCTGGAAATTAAGGGCCCCAGCCATGTTGTGGCCACACCACCCTTTAACACTTCCCCCTCCTCACCTGAATTTAATCATCTCTAGAATAACATGGAGGAGTTCCTTTGGGTGTCTTTTCTGAGCTTGATGTGAAGTAATTAACATCACATTTACTATCATCCCCATATTGAGTTTTTGTCATTTTGTTCAAATTTAATGGAAACTGATAGGTACAATCTCTGTGTATCAAGAAATGGAGAGAACAGATTTCATTGGTTTGCAAGCACTCTCTGCCACAATCCACAAGGAACGTTTTTTTTTTACACCTATTATGTTTCAGGAGAAGATAGGCAATCTCCTTCCATATGATTACTGCCTCTGAAAACCCACTGGAGGGTCAGCTCTGGCTTGATTATGACACGATGGCACACAACAACAACAACATATTCCTATACAAACTCCTTTCAGTACATTATGATGTTTTCTACATTACCTTCAATACTCGTATTCTCCGTTTTCATCATGGTCCCGTACACTCATAAATGCTCTATTGACAGATATCATTGGCACTTAGGACACCTCTGTATAGATATGTTGATATCACTTCTAACCCAGTATGTCCAAAAAATAGAAACTATCTTTTTTTTTTAAATCTTTATTGTATTATTTTTACGTGTACCATCAAATCAGATCTGACTGGTACAGGAGGAAGAAACGATCTTCTTCAATCTTTCCCACATACCCCATAGTTTCTTCTTCAGCACTATCTGTTAGTTCCACTTCTGCTCTTCATTTCTGTTGATGCCAAAACATACTTTGCATCATCTTGTGCCCAAATTACTAAAATTTATAGTTGCATTTGTTACAACTTTTTAAAATGAAATGGAATGCTACTGCGAGATCTGACTACATGAAATAGCACATTGAAAAGTTTCGTAACTCTGCATTCTCTGGAATAATCTAACCCTATTTGCTTCCTTTTTAATCCTCCAAAATTTGCCCAGTGACTATTGAGTATTTTGGTACACGGTTCAAATTCACCAACTGCTCTGGGGAAAAAGATAAGATGACCTCTTATGCTGTTAAATGCCTCTGAAAACCCACTGGAGGATCAGCTATGAGTCAGTTTTGACTCTACAATATAAAACAACAACATTGATAGAATGATGTTAGGAACCCTGGAACATAGAATTTTACTGTGAAGAGTCTTTAGCCAATATTCTTCCATCATTCCATTCCAGAGAATTGATTTGGCATAAAACTTTTTGTTGTTGTTAGGTGCCATCAAGTTGAGTACAACTCAAAGAGACCCTTAAGAACAACAGATCTGAATCCCATACTATACTGTGCCATCCTCACAATCTCTGACACACTCAAGCCCATGAAACCTTCCTGTAAGAAATGTGGTAAAACCTTCACACATCCTTCATCTCTTACTAAAAAATTGATGCTCTAAATGATAAGATCTAAAATTAATAATAAACAGGAATGGAAAGAGAGTGAAAATCAGGGAAACTCACTCAAAGTTGCCAAGCGTACTGTGTCTAGAAGTCCCTATCCTCAAAGATATTTTTAATGTGGTTAATAATTTTTACCTCCATAAAGTAAAAAGTATGAAGAGTGATAATATCTAGTAAGTATGTAAAGAAAAGCACCATCTTCACTGAGGCACATATACTCAAATCCAATAATTTCTCTTTAGTAAGTCCTATGGAAACAGACAGAGTGTGCAAGAATTTATGTATAATGATGTAGATTGTGGTGTGAATTATTAATAATGTAAAGTTAGATAAATATATTGTAGTAGGAAAAAGCAAATATCTACAGTGACTGGGGTAATGAGGGTAGGTGTGTTGAGACAATGCAGTCAATTCAAGATAGAGTAGGGTTCAGAGCTGTTGTACTAAGAATTACAAGTGACTTGATGGCATATAACAAAAACAACATTTTAGAAGATTATAGCTTTCAAAGTGGACTACATCTCAACATGAGGTAAAGCTTCCCACTGGACCAGAAAACAACATCGTGATAGATGAAGAAAGAATTAAACTTGTCAATGATTTCATCTTACCTGGATCCACAATCAATACCCATAGGAACAACAGTCAAGAAATCCAAAGACATGTTGCATTGGAAAAATCAGCTTTCAGGGACCTCACTAGAGTACTTAAGAGCAACGATGTCAGTTTAAATACTTGGCTAATCATGATCCAGGCTATGGTCTTTTCAGTTACTTCTCTGCATCTGAAAGTTGGACAGTGAACAAGAATGACAGAAGTTATAGCTTTGGAGAAAAGGTCTGGGTATCTCATGGACTGCCAACAAAGCTGTCTTGAAAGAAGTGTACCCAGAATGCTCTTTACAGGCAAGGATAGTCAAACTTGGTCTCTTGACTTTGAGCATGTTGTTGGAAGGGGCAAATCTTTGGAAAAGGACATCATGCTGGGAGAGGTGGCAAGTCAGAAAAATATTTCTAAAAAGAATTAAATAATCTAAATGTACAGACATGGAAGAGAGTACAAACAAAACAGACACAGAACTGTCTGTATACCCTGATCCTTTTTTTTTTTTAATTTTACAAATGTGTATTTATTATCACATATATATAAATGCACACATTCACATATCCTTATTGTTGGATAATGTCTTTGTTGCCTAGTGCTATGGTAACATATACCACAAGTTGATGGTATCAACAGATTCCCCCCACACACACACACAGTTTAGGAAGTTTTTATGTAATAAAAGAGATTAACTTGAAATGTACCCCACAGTAAACCTGCCTCATTAACATACAAAGGCATTAAATCCCAAATGGGACTATAACCACAGTTAAAAGGATAGAATTTATAGCATGTTTTAGGGGGACATAATTCAATTCATAATGGTGTATGTCCTAAAAGATGCAATTCAAATCCTAACAGATTGGAGGGAAAGGAAATATACAGAGAGACTTTCTTTTTTCAGTGAACACATTTTGTTCAATAGTTATTTTCATTTTATTTGATGATGTATTTATTCCCAAGCCATAAATTTTTGTTTCTTCAGTTTCTTCTGGGAGATCTTTATCTTCTGGGCAACCTCCTCTTCTGGTTTAGGAACAATCTGTTCCTTTTCAGTAAGGATCATCTCTGTATGGCAAAGGGAGCTCATGTAGGGGTTAATCCAAGCATGAGCTCTGTATGTATGGTGGTGCATCTTGGGAGCTTTGTTCACCTTAATGTACTCAATGACCAGAGAATCAACATTTAAAACCTTAAGTTCAGCATTACTTTCTGTGATTTTAAGCATATGCAGCCGAAACTCAGCACTCTTTTTTTTTTTGGGCCACCAACCCTGTGTCCAGTACCACTGTTTAGCCTAGGCACACCTACCAACTCCACCATTGTAACGTCAGAATGGCACACACTGCTTTTGCAAAGTGACATCTTTCAGATACTTCATGGTTTTCTGGATATGCATACTCCTGATGGCCTGGGCAGTTTCCTGGACATTCTTAAAATGGACCCAGAGATTTGAGCCTCTTTATTTGCATGATTTTGTGGGATTTTCCGGGTTAAGTGAGTAGCAAACGATTTTGGGAGATCACCTGAGGACGCTCACAGGAAAAGAGTGAACATATTTTTGTATTATTTAGTAGTTTATGTTAATGGTTAATATGTATTTGAGACAAAATTTTAACATAAAAAATATAGGCTTAAGATAATGTGATGCTAGAATCCCATATTTCTTGACCTTTTCTTTGCATTTGCAAAAGTGCGCCTCCTGCCTAAAACCATAAAGATAGAAAAATAATTAAAAGATCATAAAAGACAAAATGGGACCAAGCTTAGAAGGTCTAGCCTGTGGTATAGAGAGGCTGACCAATACAGCCAGAAATTCACAACCAGGAGAGGATAAAATTGATGAATGAGACCTTCTAAAGATTAAATCCATGTGCATAAAAAATTTTATTCCAATAGGGTGAAAAGAAAACCTTCTGACTAGGGTAAAAAGCATTTGGCAATACCATTTCAGACAAGGATTTCATAGCAAAAGTTTATATAATACTACTAGACCTCCACAAGAAAAAGACACAATTAAAAAATGGACCAAAAACATCAGAAAACTTTTCACAGAAGAAGACTTTAGGATGGCCAAAAGACACATGAATAAATGTTCAAAATCACTGGCAATAAAAGAGATGCAAATCAAAACTACAGTAAGCTACTCTCCCATTCCAGTAGCAGTGGCAAAGTTTAACAGGATAGTAAGCAACAAAAAATGTTGGGGAGGATATGGAGAGATAGGAACTCTCATACACTGTGAGTGGGATAGTAAAATGGTGTAACCACTCTGGAAGGCAGTTTGACGTTTCCTCAAAAAGCTGAAGATAGAAATTCCATGTGACTCAGCTTTTCCACTTCCAGGAATTTACTCCAAGAAAATTAGAACTGAGAGACAGAGATTTGTATACCAGTGTTCATAGCAGCATTATTACAATCACAGGAATATGGAAACAACCAAGATGTCCAACCACAATTGAATGGATTGAGAAATTGTGGTAGATTCACATGATGGAATACTACACAGCACTAAGGACCAACAATTTAAAAATACACTACATAACTTGGGAGAGACTGGAGAGCATTATGCAGCGTGAACTAACAGTCTCATAAGGACAAAAACCACATAAGACCATTATTGTAAAAATAGAAGGACAACTAGTAAAACGTATGGGAATCCAAGAAGGGAAGAAGTGGGAGCAGAGGGGTAAGAGTGGGCAGGGGTAAAAAAAAAAATCACAGGATCATACAGTTTGATGGGTGGAGGGAGGGGGTAAAGGAAATGGGAAGGATCCAGTGGGGGCCTGAAAAGATGGGATGATGGTGGGCATAGTTCAATGGGGATTGGTTTTATAAAGTACAATATAAGGGACTGATTGTATGAAACACAGTGTGAATGAAGCAAAGTGTGAAACACAATGTATGTGAATTTTGTATGCAAACCAATTTAAAAGACATTTTATTAAAAAAAAATGTCCCTTCCTCCCTTTCCACTGGCAGTTCACACAGAGGTAGGTCTCCCAGTTTCTCCACATCATCTCACATACATAGTCTTAACAGCTTCTTTCTCTACTCTGCTGCTTCTCTGTCTTTCCTAACTGTTCTTTAGGTGGCATTTTCCCAGATGAAGACAGTCCTAAGAGTTTTCAACCTATTACATGTTGGGTTTTTGTTTTTGTTTTTTTAAATTTACGTTTCATAATTGCACATAGTTTGAACCCACCAGCTGCTCCATGGCAGAAAGATGGGCAGTCTCCTCCCATGCAGTTAACTGACTCTGAAAAACTCAATGGAGGGCTGCACGTAACAACATAATTTTTACAGGAATTTTTTAAGTGCAGTGAAAATTAATCATTGATATTTTTTAAATTTTATTTCAGATTTAGAGAGCAAAACAGAAACCAAAGAATCAACTTTAAGGAATGACATTTCATGGGAAGAGGTAACCCAGAACCTGCTGATGGAGAGCGCCACAGAAGGAAGCACTTTACACTCCACACTGGGAAAAGTCTCCAACTCTGGCAAGTTAGACAATCCCCCAGGAAACCAAGGAATGCAGAAAGCCCAAGTTCTCTGGAGCTGCAAAAACCCTGTCACTCAGGGGGCGGGCAAAGACTCTAACAGATCTGAGAAAAGTATTTCTGTGAGTTCAAAAGTTATTTCAGAATCAGTAAGTGTACCCAGGAAAAAAGATCATAAATATGATATATCTGGAAAGAAAAGTAAATACAATTTAGATCTGATTAACCATACAACAAGTTATGCAAAAATTAAAACCTTTGAGTGCAGTATTTGTGAAAAAATCTTCAAGCAGCTCATTCACCTTACTGAGCACATGAGAATTCATACTGGAGAGAAACCTTTCAGATGTAAGGAATGTGGAAAAGCCTTTAGCCAAAGTTCATCTCTTATTCCACATCAGAGAATCCATACTGGTGAGAAGCCCTATGAATGTAAGGAATGTGGCAAAACCTTCAGGCATCTTTCATCCCTTACACAGCATATTCGAATTCATTCTGGGGAGAAGCCCTATGAATGTGGTGTGTGTGCAAAAGCTTTCAGCCAGAGCATTGGACTGATTCAGCATTTGCGAACTCATGTTAGAGACAAACCTTTTATATGTAAAGATTGTGGAAAAACATTTTTCCAGATTAGGCACCTTCGGCAACATGAAGTTATTCACAGTGGTGTGAAACCCTATATTTGTAACGTATGCAATAAATCTTTCAGCCACAACACATACCTAACTCAGCACCTGAGAACTCATACTGGGGAAAGACCCTATAAATGCAAGGAATGTGAGAAAGCATTTAGCCAGAGGATACATCTTTCTATACATCAGAGAGTCCACACCGGAGTAAAACCTTATGAATGCAGCCATTGTGGAAAAGCATTTCGGCATGATTCATCGTTTGCTAAACATCAGAGAATTCATACTGGAGAAAAACCTTATGATTGTACTGAATGTGGAAAAGCCTTCAGCTGTAATTCATCACTTAATAGACATTACAAAACACATGTCAAAAATACCTTCAGTGATGATACATGAAATATATTCACATATCAGAGAATCCACATGGGAACAAAAACCTCTTAACTCTATAGTTCTGTCATCTGGATTTCAAGAACCTAGAAACATTTTTTTAAGATGATTTCCAGTTTTGAGATTTTGCCATATTACAAACTATCACCTGATAGCATCATTTCAGAAAAGACATTTTAATATTTTTTAAAAATAGAAAACAGTAATCCATTTAAAGAATGCCTCTTATGTTGAATTAAGTCAGCCTTAAACTCCAAAATTTGACTTTATCATTTCACTGAATAGCATTATAGCTGGCAAGCCATCCAGATTGATTTTCATAAAACGGTTGGCTATCCCTTTAACGAATCAAAGAACATTCTAATACTTTAGTACATTACATGGCTACAAAGGGTACAAATAAAAATATTGATGGACTTATTTCTAGAAGAAAGGGGATTTTCGAGAATTGACAGATTGTAGATTAATTGCTTGGTTAATTTTTGTGGTTCCTTACCATTGATTAGCAAACTTTTCTGTTAAGGTCATATAGTAAATTTGCAAGAAAAAGGATCTCTGTCACAGTTATTCAACTTGGTCATTGTAGTTTGAAATAATCCAGAGGCAATAATACAAACCAGAGTATCTTAATTTGGGTACTTCTGACACTTTGAGACACATAATTTGGGCAGCTGCCCTGTGCATTGTAGAATATTTAGCAGTATTCCTTTCTTCTGCCTACAAGATATCAACGTCAGATGCCAATCAGTCTTATCCTTCCCCAAATTTGACAACCAAAAATGTCTCCAAAAATTTCCAGGTGTCCTCTAGGGGCAAAATTGCCCCAGTTGAGAACCACTGACATAAATCTGTGTGCTTGTGTTTTAATAAAACCCGCATATATAGTGGTGGACTCTTGGGCTTGAGGCTGCATTTTGCCAGCTCTTCTTGTGGGTATGTAAGTCTATTAATAAAGACAAAGAATCATTGCAACTTAAATGTTGAATTACAGGAGTCCCTTGTAATGCATTTGTTTTAGAGCTGGGCTGTTAACTGAAAAGTCAGATGTTCAAAGCTGTCACCAGCTCTGTGGGCAAAAGAGGAGGCAATCTGCTTCTCTATTGATTACACGTTTGGAAACCATGAGTCATTTCTACTCTGTCCCAGGAATGGAAATAGATGCAGCAGAAATGGATTTAGTTTTGGCTAATAGTCAATTAGTATGTATGTATTTACCTCAGGATAGGGGAGAGATCTTAATCCCTTAGCCATTATTTTACCATTTTGTTACAATAATTAAAAAACCCCTTCTCATTTGTAATACTGCCAGGAGGCTTAATATATTTATGGAAACAATTTGTATAAACTCTAGACCATAATGATACTTTTTGTTTATTCTAAGTACTGTGAGATAAGACAAGCACCCGATAAAAATATAATCACAATATTACTATTATTAGGCTTAAAAGTATTAATCATACTTTATTAATACATGTTAATACCTTTATGAGGGTAGGTATATTGAAGTTGGTGGCCATCATTTTACTAATCTTTAAAGCTTTTTGCTTTGTCTAGCCTAGTCTATATATTAGATTTGTAAATGCTCTTTCTGATAGTGGAATCTTTGAGGTACTAATAAGAACAGCATATCAAGGGCACATATTGAGGCTGGTAAGTATGAGAAGTAGAGGAGTTGACCCATAATACTTCACTGCACTAAGTAAAATACTGCATTCCTCCAATACAGGTCAGGTTCAACTTTGTACTACCTTATGTTATAGAAAAAATATTTCCATTGCCTGAGCATTTTAAGTGCACACACAAAACTATAAATGAAAAAAAACCCCACCCACAATATCTAGATGTTTTGTTATTTACTTCTGTAACTGACTTGTTTGAATCTTAAGTCCTTATCAGACTTTAATGTACAAAAGGACAGATGGTGATACACACTGTTCTTAGTATTCATTCTACTGTATTTCTGTGGTCATTAGAGTCTTAATTTCTTTGATTACTGCTTCCAATAAAAGACATAAAGATCACTTTTCTCTCTACATTCCTTGCTTCAGTGAACTCAGAGTGCATTATGTCTCCATCCTCAATGACTTTCTTCAACTATAGCCTTACACTTGTTTTAGGGTCATTGCATGCTGTGCCTCCAGATACCCTGCACGCTTATCTTCTTCACCTTTTTGCAGATGTTGCCTTTTCGCTGAAGCCTATCTGACCATGTTACTTAATATTACTGCTTGTTCCTTACTCTCTAATTGGAGCATCCCGAAACTTCTTAACCTCAATTTTCCCCATAACACTAAACACCTAACATTCTAAATGCTTTATGTATGTATTACGTTTACTGTTTACTATTGTCTCCTCTTTCTAGAATGGAAGCTCTGTGAGGGCACAGGCCCTTGTTTTGTTTACTGTTATATTTTATAAGATTTGTATTCCCTTGTGATGTAAGTGCCTAGAAAAGTACCTGACACATACTAGGGAATGAATAAAATTGGTTGTATTGATTTGAACTGTGCATCCATAGTGGTTGTTGCTAGGTACTATCAAATTAAGTAAAACTGATAGCAACCTTATGAGTAGATCTGAACTATGCCCTATCTTGTGTCATCCTCACCATCTCAGTTATACTTGGACCCACTGATAGAGTCACTGTTAGTCCATCTCACTGAAGGACTTGCCCTCGTTGACCCTCCATGTTTTCAAGCATAATGTTTTTGCAAGGACTGGCTAGCCTTTCCTTACAAACTGCCCAAAGTATATGAGATGATGTTTCACCATCTTTACCTCCAAGGAACATTCTGGATGCGTTTTCTGTAAGACATAATTTTGTTCTTTTGGCAGCCTATTCTGTACTCAAACACCACAACTCAAAGGCATCACTTGATTTTCTGTTACCGTTATTCATTGTCTGAATTTAAAGTGCATAGCAAGTAACTGAACAAACTATGGCTTGGAACAAGCTTGCCTTAGTATTTAAATTGACATCATTGCTTGATAGCACTTTGGCAAGGCCTTGAACAGATTTTCCTAATGTATGTCTTTTGATTTCTTGACTGCTACCAAGGGTGTTGACTGAACCTTATGAACCACTGATCTGAACTCTGTCCTATCCTGTACCATTTTCCCAATCTGGCACACTTAAGCCAATTGTCGCAGTCACCATGTCAACCTGTCTGGTTAAGGGTCTTCTTCTATTTCACCATCCCCACCTTCCCAAGCATGATGTCCCTCCATAAGGAATAACTTCTAGCAACACGCAAAGGTATGTGAGACAAAGCTGCTTCATTTTTGTATTCAGGGAGCACTCTGGCTGTACCTTCTCCAAGACATAATTTTATTTTGGCAATCCATGGGATATTCAGCATTCTGTCATCCCTATGAGTAGGAAACGACGGCACATAACAACAACAACAACAGTCATCCTTAGTCATTGCCCAGCTCTCAGACACATAGCAAGTGACTGAAAAGACGATGGCCTGAATCAGGTGCACCTTAGTCCTCAAACATTGTTGCTTCTCAAAATTTTGGAGAGGTCTCTGACTGTACACTTTTCCATTGCAATACATCGGTTCTCCTGACTGCTGATACCAAGTGTATTAATTGAAGATCCAAGTAAGATGAAGTTGACAGTCTCAGTCCTTTCTCCACCCAGCATGATGGTGCCTATCAGTCCAGTGGCAAGGATTTTTGTTTTCTTGAGATTGAGATCCCAAGTTAAAAATCTTAGGGGCAAAATTTTGAATGAGCAAGGGAACACCAAAGAAGATAGAGGGAATACACACCACTGTACCAGAAAGAATTGGCCAACACGGAAATATTTCAGGAAGTATCATATGATAAAACCAGTGGTAATAGTGAAGGAAGAAAGTCAAGCTGCACTGAAGGCATTGGCCAAAATTAAGGCCCTAGGAATCAATGGGTTACCAACTGAAATATTGAAATTGGCCTGGATGTGCTTACCAGTCTATGCCAGGAAATTGGAAGGACAGCTGCCTGGCTGGCTGATGGGAAGAGATTCATGTTTATTCCCATTTTCAAGAAAGATGATCCAACAGACTGTTGGCAATTATTGAACCGTATCATTAATATCAAGCTTCCCTTCCGCCCAGGAGCATGCTTCTCAGAGTTCCCAAGGGCTTTTTCAAAGGTACCCGGGATTTCCGGCGAGAAGAAGCCCTTGGGAACTCTGACAAGCGTGC